TAGCATAACGAGAAGTCTCATTCATGTCATACAGCATGTATCAGAACTTCATCCCTTTTTTATGATTTTCCATTGGTTAATGGACATGTGGGTTGTTTCCACTTTTTTGGCTTGCTAGACTTTTTAAGGTGTTCCTCCACAGAACTTGCAGTCTAAAGCATGAACTTTTTAAAACTAAATTTTCAGAAAATTTAATTGGGTCAGATATTTCAGTGCCTTCAAATCTGTTATCTTTTAGCCGAGTTTGCCATGTTAAAGTCGTCTATTTCAGTTTAGCACCTGTCAGACTATGTATTGTAGTGGTAACAAGCAGAGGAATGTGTGCAGTTCTCAAGAGAGCAGAAGCTGTCAGAGATCACTGCTGTGTAACATTTGCCAAGACCTGTCATCTTGTGACATAAACTGGGTGTAGGTGGAGATTCAAAACCAAAAACCCTAAACCTGTTGCTTTGAGTTCATTGCAACTCATAGCCACCACCCTTTAGGACAGCGTAGAACTGCCCCGTAGGGTTTCCAAGATTGTAAACTTTATGGAAGCAGACTGCCACATCTTTCTTCTGATTAGTGCATGAAAAATGTAACTGAGCTCAATATGGGAGACAGGTTTTAACTAAAAAAGGATAATGAATTTAATTATTCAAGGGCAGAAAGCCTACTGTGGATTTTTTCAGCCTTTTAACATTTCCCACTCAAAACATTCATTGTTAATAGCTTACTGGCAGCTTTGAAGTGGAGAGGCTAAAATGCTTTTCATTCTATGTGTTGGATGGGGACTGTGCTAAGTGCTGAGAATTCATTGATTAATGCATGCCCCCTCCCCCTTCTCAAATAGCTGAGTGTTGTAGAGAAGTAAATGATTGTAGTGTGATACTTGCTTTGAGTATGTCTAAAATGCTACAGGAAAACAGGGTTAATGCTACTTAGAGTGTATGTTGTTAGTTGCCATTGAGTTGGCTAGAATATAGTGAGGTGCATTAGGCTTCAAAAAGGAGTTGACGTTTTAAGATTTATTTCCTTCTTTTTATTTTGGAAAGTATTCAACTCTGTTGCTAAAAATTTTAACTATCACAAACATAGTAGCATGTACATAAATGTAAATAAAAGAAAGAAACTTAATATACAGTCTTGCATGTTTCAGGCTATTCTCGATTCTTACAGCTAGAATCACACCCATCACTGAGTCCTGTCAGTTTTGCCTCCTGTCCTACATATCCAGGGTCCATCTCTTTCTCCCTGTCTACATTTTCATTGTCTTAGTTTAGCCCTTATTACTTCCTGTCTGGGCTATTGTAATGTAGACTCCTAATTGATCTCTCCCTTAATTATTCACTGTTGACAAAGCTTTCTGAGGCACAAATATATTATCATTCTTAGCCTAAAAATTTCCATTGCTCTTCCATGGCTTGCAAAATAAAGTTCAAGCTTTTTAGAGTGGCTTACGTTAACCTTCGTGATCATGTCCTATCCTGCCTTTGATAAAAATGAGAGGTTATAAGACCAAAGAGAAAAATTTTCTCATATATATACCTCTTTTCCATCTTACTCCTTCTCTCCTCCCTCCACATATGTTTAGAAATGCTTTTAGGTGGTAAGGAAATGGATAAGAATAGAAACACTGTCAGTTTTGTCTGTTTTACCTTCTTAATATTTCTTGAATTCATCCACTTCTTGCTCACAGCCACTATTCTCTTGGGAAAATACCTATGAGAAGAATTGCTGGGTCAAATGGCAGATTCATGGAGTCCTGGTGGCGCAGTTGTTAAAAGATTGGCTGCTAACCGAAAGGTCGGCAGTTCGAATCCACCAGCCGCTCCCTTAGAAACCTTACAGGGGCAGTTCTGCTCTGTCCGGTAGGGTTGCTATGAGTTGGAATTGACTTGATGGCAGCAGGGTTATGGCAGATGCATGTTTAATTTTTAGATAAGTCATCTGACTTTTCCCAAAAATTATAAAACTATAAAGCTTCTAGAAGAGAATGTGGAAGAATGTCTGTGACCTGGGGGTGAACAAATGTTTCTTGGACAAGACTCAGAAAGCAATAACCATTAAAAAAAAAAAAAAACTGATCATTTAATACAATTTAAAATTTTTCATCAAAGACAACACTAAGAAAATGCATAGGCAGCCACAGATACCTATCTGACAAAGGACTGATATCCAAGATACGTTAAGAACCACTAAGGTTCAAGACTGGGTCTGTGGCTCCATCCTCAGAGTCATCCTTCCTTTTTCATGAACAGAGCATATGTTTTCAGCTGAGTAGTTTTATCAACCTCTTTCCTGCCAACAATGTATGAGATTTCCAGTTGTTTCACATCTTTGCCAACTTTTGGTGTTGTCAGTCTTTTTATTTTTAACCATTTTGGTGGATGAGGAGTGGTATGTCATTATGGTTTTAATTTTAGTCCTTGATTACTGCTATGTATTGAATTGTGTCTCCTAAAAATATATATTGTAAATTCTAACCCTATACCTGTGGATATGGATCCCTCGTGGTGCAGTGGTTAAGTGACAAGGCTGCTAACCAAAAGGTCGGCAAGTCAAATCCCCCGGGTGCTCCTTGGAAACCCCATGGGGCAGTTCTACTCTGTCCTCTAGGGTCGCTGTGGGTCAGAATCGACTTGATGGCAACGGTTTTATACCTGTGGATGTAATACTATTTGGAAATAGAACTTTCTTTATTATGTTAATGAGGCCATATCAGTTTTAAGCCAATCACATTTGAGATATAAAAAAAGCCGATTAGGTACAGAGAAGCAAGCAAGCAGGAATGGGGAAAGATTGATGCCACAAGGAACCCAGGAAGAGAAGCAGAAAGAGACAAGGCTATTTTCCCCCAGAGCGGACAGAGAGGGCCTTCCCCTAGAGCCAGTGCCCTAAATTCAGACTTTTAGCCACCTAAACTGTTAGAAAACAAATCTCTGTTTGTTAAAGCCACTCTACTTGTGTTATTTCTGTTATAGCAGTGCTAAGAAACTAATTACAAATGTTGAGTACTTTTTCTTGTTGACCATTTGTATATGTTCCTTTGTGGAGTTGCTGTTTAACTGTTTTATCTATTTTTTTAATTGGGTTGTTTGTCTTCTTATTATTGAGCTGTAGGAGTTCTTTATATATCTTTATATATCAGTCCTTTATCAGACAGATGTCTGTGGTTGCCAGTTCATTTTCTTAGTGTTGTCTTTGGTAAGCAGAAGTTTTAAATTTTGATTTAGTTGTATTTATTTTTTTCTTTTATGATTATTGCTTTCTGAGTCCTGTCTAAGAAATCTTTGCACACCTCCAGGTTGTGAAGATATTCTTCTGTATTCTAGAAGTTTTACAGTGTTAACTTTTATTTTTAGGCCTATGATCCATCTCTAATTTTTGTGAATGGTGTTTTTGTGAGATATGGCTCAGTATTAAAATTTTTCCCCATATAAATATCCAGTTGTTCTAGCACCATTTTGTTGGAAAGATTTTTCTTTTCCCATTGTATTGCATTTGTGCCTTTGTTGAAATTCAGATGATTGTATAAATAAAGGTTGATTTCTGGACTCTCTTTTCTGTTCCATTGATCTATTAGTCAATCCTGTGTCAGTACCACACCATTTTAATTACTGTAGCTTATAGTAAATCTTGAAGTCAGGTAGTGTAGGTCCTCTAACTTTGCTCTTTCTTTTTTTCAAGATAGATTTGGATATCTAGATCCGTTGCATTTCCATATAATTATTAGAATCATTTTATTAATTTCTACCAAAAACTCTTGTGGGTTATGATTGGGATTGCATTGAATTTACAGGTCAATTTGGAAAGAACTGACATCTTGACAGTGTTGGATCTTCAAATATATGAACATGATACATCTCCCTTTTTATTTAGGTCATTAATTTCTCTTAGTACTGTTTTGTAGTTTTCAGTGCAGAGCTCTTACCCATCTTTTGTTAAATTTATTTCCAAGTACTTATGTTTTTTAACTCTTTTGTAAAATGGAGCTGTCATTTGTATCATTGTTGCTCTGTATATACTGTGTTGTTTTTCTCTGGCTGCTTTCAAGATTTTCTCTTTATCTTTGATTTTTGGTGGTTTGACTATGGTGTGGCTAGGTGTGATTTTGTTTGTATTTATCTTGCCTGAGGGTTACCAAGCTTCTTCAATCTGTAAATTTAAGTCTGTCACCCAATTTAGGAAGTTTGGAACCATTATTTTTAAAAAAATATTTTTTCTGCTCTATTCTCTTTCACCTCTTCTGAAACTTCAGCTACATGTGTGTTAGACCTTTTGATATTATCCCACAGGAACTTGAGTCTCTTATTATTTTCAGTCTTTTTTCTCTCTTTTTCAATTTGTATGATTTCTGTTAAACTATCTTTAAGTTTACAGGAGAAAGATGTGGTAGTCTGCCTTCATAAAAATTAACAGCCTTGGAAACCCTATGGGCAGTTCTGTCCTGTAGGGTCACTGTGAGTCAGAATCGTATCGATGGCAGTGAGTTTTGTTTATCTTTAAGTTCAACAACTCTTCTTTTTAATCTTGTCAAAGTGTAGAAATAACAAGAACTCTGTAAGGAGAGAAATAATAGAATTTTATTGTGGATTAATTACAACCAAAGCTGGGCAAACACTTGGTAAAATACTAAGTGCTGTGAAGTCCGAAAGGGGAGAGGGCTGAAGTTTACACATAAATCATAAGTAAACCTTTCACAATATCAGTTATACAGACTTTGTGTAAGCAAGTTCCTGAGAACAATTTTACATAGACATCTTTTTGGGGGGCATTTTCATCATTTTCTTTCCAGAACATTCTTATTACTTGTTTAACCAAAAAGTATAACTTTGTGATACATCAGTTACAAGCATTCTTTCTGAGAACAGAACATTTTTATGAATCATAAGTAAACATAACCACATACTTGCTCATTTGGGGGGGAGGGTAGTGTGCATATTTTGAAAGCAGAAGCAGGAATTTAGGGCGAAAGGGAGAGTTTGATTCAGACCTGCATCAGCTACTTAGTCATGCCAGGTGCCTCAGTTTTAAGGTGCTTTTACACATTCTCTGATTTGCTATTAAGCTTATCTGGTGAATTTTTTATTTCAATTTTCATATTTTTAGTTCTAGAATTTGCATTTGGCTCTTTTTTTTATAGTTTCTAATTCTCTGCTGAGTTTTCACAATTGTTCATTCATTCCTTTTATGTTCTTGAGAATAATTATAATGGCTGCTCTAAAATCCTTGTCTGCTAAATCCAACACCTGGCTCATTTCAGGATTCTGTTTCTATTGATTACCTTTTTTCTTGACTATGTCACATGTTTCTGTTTCTTTGTATATCTAATAATTTTGTGTTATACCCTGGACATTGTGAATAATATGTTGTGGAGGCTCTGGATTTTGTTATATTCTATGCAGTGTTATTTTAACAGTTGATTAACTTAGCTAGATTCAAACTCTAAACTCTGTCTGCACTGTGATGGACAGAAGCAGAAATTTCTGTTCAGTTTTTGAGCCTCCTCTGGGCTGCTTAGAGTCTATCCTATATGTGTGTAGTTCAAAGGTCAGCTAATTTGGCAAAGTTTATACATGTCATTTGGGGTTTCCCTTCTCTGACCTTCTCCTTTCTGAAATTCACCTCCTCACTTTCCAGCTGTTGTGGATTCCCTGGACTTGTTCTTTTGTTCTTCAAGCCAATAATACTGTGGGTTTCTGAGTTTTAGCTGTTTCGCATAGCCGGTGACTGGTTTTTGCCCTCAAGTAAAAGCCATAAAAGCAGAAACTTACCTGGTGCTATTCTCTTCTTCCAAGTGTAGACTTCCTTCTACCTTTGCTTTTGATTGCTTTCTAGTATCTTCTGATAGTTGTTTTTAATATTTTGTCCAGAGTGTATAGTTTTGAATTTCTGATTCAAGGTATTTTTTTTTTAATCTCTAGATACATGCTTGTTTGAGGATATTTAATTCAATTTGGAGTGTTGCATACCAGTTCTCTTCTTTGTGGTTTCTTTTATTGGGAAGAGGGGATTTTCATCAGCTAAAGTTTATTTTGATTCTCATTTTCCATTCTTATAATAATTTTGTATAGAAGAGACTGCTTGTGGCCTATGCATTTTATGGACAGGATTGGCAGTTTGAGATGATTTACGAGATCCTAGTTCCAGAGTAAGCCAAAAAAAACCTGTTGCTGTCAAGTCGATTCTGACTCATAGCAACCGTATAGACAGAGTAAAACTGCCCCATAGGGTTTCCAAGGAGCAGCTGGTGTATTTGAACTGCCAGCCTTTTGGTTGGCAGCCAAGCTCTTCACCACTGCGCCACCAGGGCTCCATTGCCCACATGGTAGGTATTAATGAGCTGATTGTTTGCTCTCCTTTAAAGAGTGTTTTTGTAATTTTGATTTTTTCCATTTGTAAATGTAATACATGCTCATTGTAAAAATCAACTTAAATAGAACCACCATAATAGCAAAATTTTAACAGAAAGGGAGAGGTAGACCTAGAGGATTTTCAGGGGCTTGGCAGACCAGTTAAGCACTGAGGAACTTAGTCTTTGTTTGGGCTGGTGTTGATAAGTGTATAAATAGAATAACTCATAGAATATTGCATATGGATGTTTTATCTGAATTTTAGTAGAGGCTCTTGACTTTTACCTTTAGCATTCTTTGACATCTTTTTTTTAACCTTTTATTTACATGAAGGTCAACCAGAATCAACATGTCTGGGATTGAGGAAGCAGTTCTTGGAAGCCGTGACAGCCATCCTGCTGGTGGTGGTAACTCTGTATTATGCTTTGGACAGGTAACTGTGTAGTTTCTTTGTATCTGGAAAAAATAAGGTTAAGTGAGAAAATGTATGAAGAAGCAATTTGTAGAGCATCATCATACATGTATGTAAGAAATTTATTGTTCCTGGGTTTTTCTTTAGATGCATTATTTGGGGCATTTTGGAGCTGTAGCATCATAAGACTAACTACTCAGAATTACATTTAGATTTCAATTTTGGTTATTTTTTGCATAGGTAACATATTTATATGATATAAAGTTTAAAAGAAAACAAAGACTATATGTATGTAGAAAGTGTCCCTACCTCCCTATTACTCTGTCCACATGCTACCCATTTCTCTTTCTTTGAAGCATCCAAAGTTGCTGGTATCTTTATAGAAATATTATGTACATAGAAAAGGAAATATTCCTTTGTCCACCCAGATTCTATCTGTCTTCACCAGAGATCTGTTTGTGAGTGTTCATTTCATTTAAATAGGGCAAGAGGAAAACTACCAAGGGAACACGAACGAAAACAACAGGTAGTAGTGTATTTATCTATGTGAAGTTGAATTGGAGAAGAAGGTATAAAACTTTGGAGAGGACAAATGAAAGCAAGACTTCCTATCATATTTCCCTTTCCCTTTCCCACATAAACGTCATATACAGACTTTGACACTGGAAGTTTTACTCTTCTAATTCTAGCTTGAGAAAGTTTTGTAAGGATGGTAGTAACATCTAAGGCAATGGTCCTAAAAATGTGGTCTAAGGACCCCTGGGGATCCACAAGACCCTTTCAGAGTCCATAAGGTCAAAACTATTTTCATAATAATATAAAGATACCATTTGCTTTTTTAACTCTCATTCTCTCACAAGTGTATGGTGGAGTTTTCCACAGCCTGCATGACATGTGAATCATTGCTCTGATGGCTAATGGAATGTGTGGTTTAAAAATTTCTCAGTTTTAATTCCTAATATGGTAAATATTGATACATATAACCCATATAAATAAAAGCTATTGGGGGTCCTCAGTACTTTTTAGGAATGTAAAGAGATCTTGAGAACAAAAAGTTGAAGAATCACTGATCCAAGGAGTGGTGGAAATGTCAATTTAATATTTTCTTTCTGGATTGTAGTGCCAGTATACAGCAGAAGAGTACCAGGCCATCCAGAATGCCCTGAGGCAGAGGCTTGGCCCAGAATATATTAGCAGTCGCATGGCTGGAGGAGGCCAGAAGGTAGAGTTTACATGCCTGGAAAGTGGGTGCCCATATAGCTGACTACTCAGATGGTCTTTCTGACTTTTTTCTCTGGGTCCTTGTGGATTCAGAAGATGTCTTGATCACTGTTCCTGGGTGTTTTCTAGTGCCCAGTCCCTTGGGGAGGGGAGGGGATGAGTTCCAGTCTTCATTGACATCTGAAGTGAGCGAAGCATTGTTTTGAGACTTGTATACCTGCCATCCTAGGAGTTTTACACTATCTTTTAAAAAAATTTCCCTTTGCCATTTGCTTCTAATTTAACTTCAGTGCCTTCCATAAAGTATGTCAGCCTGAGATTCAGGAAATTGTGTTATGTTCAGTGAATGGATATCTTTCCCATTGATTCTGGTCCCTCCCCTAAGGTAAACCACTAGTTCTGACTGGCTCCTTCCGGAAGGTCTTTGAAATAAGTTCATTGAGAATTTCCCTGGAATGTTTAAGGGAATTTTTCCCAAAAAAATCAGATAAGGAATATATTAGGTAAATTTTGATCTACATTTCAATGTGACGAAGAGTTTTAATATAACCTTTTGCTTTTTAACTTTTCCCCCAGGTGTGTTACATTGAGGGTCACAGAGTAATTAATCTGGCCAATGAGATGTTTGGTTACAATGGCTGGGCACACTCTGTCACACAGCAGAATGTGGGTGAGTATGCTTCTGGGCAATGGTGACTTCTTCATTCCCCTTACTTGGTGTTGTCTAATTTCTGATAGTATTTTGTGGGTAAGGGTGTAAGTAGATGTGTTTGGTTGCCAGCAGGAGGAATATGGGTGAGACACAGGATCAGCATCCTCTTCACCCGCTTCTCTTTTCCATTCCTAGATTTTGTTGACCTTAATAATGGCAAGTTCTATGTGGGAGTCTGTGCGTTTGTGAAGGTCCAGTTGAAGGTAAGGGAAATAGAGTAGACCTGCTGCCTGGAAAGATTGTGTAGGTGGTGGGAGAGGGTGAGTAGGTAGGGAAGTCTCCTGACTGTGGCACAGCCAAACTAAAGAGCTAGGTCCTCTGGCCACAGGTCTGCCCAGAGTTGTGTCTCAGCCAGTGTTCCTTAGCGTGGTGATATTCAAACATTTTTGCTTATTTGTACCCTAAAAGAATTTTGAAACACTCTGTCCTCCTTGAACACTTTTTAGTTGACTTCAAAAAGTTTCCTTCATAAATATAAGGAGTTGCAAAGAGTCTATTTTTTCACATATTGTAAAATTTGAAATTTTAAAATAAATCTGTGACACCTGTTTTAAATGTACTAATGGAATGTAAATACTATAGGGAATTGTCTTAGTTATCTAGTGTTGCTATAACAGAAATACCACAGGTGGGTAGCTTTAATGAACAGACATTTATTTTCTTACAGTTTTTAGGAGGCTAGAAGTCTGGATTCAGGGTGCTGGCTCTAGGGGAAGGCATTCTGTCTCTGTCGGCTCTGGAGGAAGATCCTTATCTCTGTTAGCTTCCGCTGCTGAGTGATTTTCATGTGGCTTAGCATTTCTCTTCCCCCATCCCTGCTTCTTAACTTGCTTGTTTAATCTCTTTTATATCTCAAAAGAGATTGACTTGAGATATACCCTACACTAATCCTGCCTCATTAACATAACAAAGACAACCCATTCCCAAATGGGATTATAACCACAGGCATAGAGGTTAGGATTTATAACACATATTTTGGGGGGATATAACAATTCAATCTGTAACAGGAATGAAATACTGTCATCCATTTAAGGAAATACATGAGCGAGCTATTCTTTAGTGGTCAGAAATTTTACATGGTTTCTTCTTTATTTGAACTCATATTTTTATTCCATTACCCTATCAGCTTTTATCTTAATATATATTTATGATTGAAAATCTTTTATTGATACGTTATCATACTTCTCTGACTATATGTGTGAGTATGGTTATATGTATAAAAATAGAATTTTTTGAGATTTCCAGTGACATTAAAACTCTAAATATTAAAAAATTTCTTCTGGATTGAATTATTATTCCAGTTACTGTTAACACAGTTGATCAGATAATCGTGTTTATGTTGAAAAGACAACATAAATATATAAAAAATTTGGATAATTATTAAAACTAAAACTACTGAAAATGCATTTTTTAATGAGATGCATGATGCTGTTTTCCGCCCGCCCCCACCAGTTAGTTTATGTATCAGTAGTTGACTAATACTTGTCTCTAGAATGAGCATTTGGCATTAACTCTATTCTGACTTCTTATTTTTTATAAATAGTACTAAAAAACTTTGTTCATGTAAATAGGTAGCTGGGAATGGAAAGAGTTTTGCTAAAGAGTTTTATCCCTCTTTGAATACTTTCTGAGTTTTATTCCATAAATCATCAAAAATTATATTTCTCTGCCAGCTAACACCTTGATCAAGTCTGCCCTTACTTTTGATGAAAGCCAAGAAGTGGATACCACATGACTTGCAAAAGGATTTGCTGTCCAGTCTTAAATATGATATTTCAAATTATGCCTTTGTTTGGTGTCCCAGAGGTTTTTATACCTTAGGGTAATATGTCATAGTAAGGTTTGGTGTGCCTTTCTTATGTGAAAGAGGAGGTGGGAAAGGAGAACAGTCTTAGTACTTTGACCACAGGCACATCTCCAGGCAGGTCAGGGCTAGAAACAGTGCATGTGAAGTTGCTATTCTGGAAATTGATTCCTTTGCAATTCTCTGTGCCCATTAGCAAGGCCCCTGGGACATATGTACAGCCTCATGTGAACACAGCTGCTTGAGAAAAGGAAGGGCTGTCGAGCTAGGGACACATGACAGCTTTTCATGTTAGAAGTTTAACTCCTTTCCTACCCCCAGGATGGCTCCTATCATGAAGATGTGGGTTACGGCGTTAGCGAGGGCCTCAAGTCAAAGGCCTTGTCCTTAGAGAAGGCGAGGAAGGAGGCAGTGACAGATGGGCTGAAGCGAGCACTCAGGTGAGTGAAAAGTCTCTCCTGCTTCATTTCAGCCCTTGTTTCAAAGCAGGTTTTTTTTTTTTTTTTGGAAAAGGTATTATATTCACGTGGTTCAAACATCAAAATAACATAAAAGAAAGGCAGTATTGACTCCCACTTTTGTCCCTGTCTTCTCTCTTTCCCTGCTTCGTTTCATATTTTCCTAGGGTTTCTTTATGCTTAGTTCTTCTCTTTTTAAGTGGTAGAATACTATATTCTTTATTCTGTTACTTGCTTTTGCTTTTTTTTTCTTTCACTCAGTAATGTACCCTGGAGACTTTTCCCCATGATTACAAAGATAGCTTCCTCATTCTCTTTAATACACCTGTATAGTTCTCCATTGTGAGTATGTAACATAGTTTGTTAGAGCAGGGGTTTTTAACCTTTTTTTTTGGGCCATAGAGCCTTTTGAGAATTGAAGTGAATTGAATCACTAGAAAAATACATGTATAAACTTGCACTAAAATTTGCATTATCATTTCCCAAGGGGGAGTTCATATACCCCAAGTTAAGAAAATTGATCATGAAAGTGTGTGCCTTTATCCCCTCTTCCCCTCCCCCAGCCCTCAAAGTGTATAACTCACTCTTACTGAGGAATCATAGCAGTCCTCTGAAAAAAATCTCTGCTCTGGAATTTGTGTCCGCATCAGAAGATAGTGAGTTGTTGTGTAGTCTTTCCATGCTCATTGCCTCTCTTTGAGGGCAGGGATTTTTGTCTGCGACCCTCACTGCTGTGTTCTCAGCACCTGATAGAGGGCAGGATCATGACAGATGCTCAGCAAACATTTATTAAGTTGAGAGCAGGGCCCATCTCCTCTGCTGCAGTTGAGAAGCAACTTGTACAAAGGTTGTAACTCTGCTCTCTGAGATTCACATGTAACAATTCTCAATGTTATTTCTCTTTTTTCCTTACCCTTAGGAGTTTTGGGAATGCACTTGGAAATTGTATTCTGGACAAAGACTATCTGAGGTCACTAAATAAGCTTCCACGCCAGGTATGCTAGAAACAGATGAATGGAATGGGTTGGAGTAAAGATAATGTATCTAATTCCTGCATGTCATGGGTTGAATATTTGGAGGATAGGGGCAGGGGTAGCGGGAAGAAGGGAGGACTTAGCTATTTAGAGGGCCTGGGAAGTGTATTTCAGATCTCTTTGTTAGACCCAGCAGGAACCAATCCTCTCATTTCACAGATGAAGAAATTGAAGTCTAGAGAAGTTATGTCATTTGTCTCATACACAGAAAATTGTGTTTGAGATGTCTGAAACTGTCTCAAAAGCAGCACAGAGCCCTCCACAGCACCCCTGTGATTTCTTGGAAACACTCAGAACCTTACCTGTTCAAACCTTCTTGCTTTTCCTTTTAGCTTTTGTGTCTTTAAGGTTTAGCTCTCCCTTGTGTCTGTCAGTGCCTCTCACATGATCTGAGCATCTCCCTTTGGAGAGTGGGGTCTGGAGTTGAGCATCCCTGGAGTCACACTTGACCTGGGCTTAGTTGGGCTCTGTAGTGTTCTGCTGCTCGGTGGGGTGTGGCTGCTTTCTCTGTGGCATTCTCGGAGATCCCTGCAATGCTGCCGCCTGTGACAGCATCCTCTATCCTATATCTGGGGGATTCTTTTTCTTGCGGAGCCCCTAATAGTGGTGTGCGTCATTTGGCATCTGTGAAAGCTCCGTTTCTTTTAATGAGCTCTTAAAATGAATTACAACATACCCACAGAAAACTGCACAGATCGTAACAGCACAGCCAGATGAATTTTCCTAAGTGAGCACAGCTGTTACCTCCCAGATAAGGAAACAGAACATTGCCGGCACCCTAGGAGCCCTGTTTTGCCCCATCCAATCACTACCCTGGCTTTTTCAAAAGTAACCACTACTCTAACTTCTCTATTCTGACTTCTAGCTTGATATTTTTTTCTGTTTCTGAACTTCATGTAAATGAAATTGTACAGTTTGTACTTTAAACACATTGAAGCATTAAAAAGAACATACAGACATGCAGATGTGTGCACATATAAATGTTCAGCTTGATGAATTTTAAAACCAAACACAGCCATGTAACCTGCATACAGATCAAGAATCAGAATATTCCTGTGTCCCAGAAGTCTGTGTGTCCCTGCAGCCACTACCAAGGAAAACTACCTCTAACAACACAGATTAGTTCGTGTCTGGCTTTCATTCACCATGTTTGTGAGATTCATGTTTTGTGCAGCATTTTCGTTGCTGTGTAATTTTTCTGTTGCATGAATATACAATAATTGATTTTTCCGTTCTGTCTTTGATAGACATTTGGCTTTTTTTCAGCTTTTGGCTATTTTGAATAGAGCTGCTATTAACATTCTTGTACATGTCATTTATCTTGGGAAATACTGGGTCATAGTATAGGTGTGGGGCCCTGGTAGCACAGTGGTTAAGAGCTACAGCTGCTACAGCTGCTAACCAAAAGGTTGCCAATTTGAATCCACCAGCCACTCCTTGGAAACCCTATGGGGGCAGTTCTGCTCTGTCCTTTAGGGTCGCTATGAGACGGAATCAACCCGACGGCAACGGGTTTGGGTTTTTTTTGTTTGGTAGTATAGGTGTATGCTTAATTTTAGTAGATTTTTCTCGTTTCCCAGTGTGTTTGTACTAATTTACACTCCTACACAGCAGCGTATGAGAGCTCTAATTGTTCCATATCCTTCACAGCTCTTGGCTTAGTCAGTCTTTTAAAAAAATTTTCAAAGCTCCATTTCTTTTTAACCTGCTCATTTACTTTTCAGTGTAAATAAGAATCTCATGCTGTAATTTTCAGCTTCTCTTTATCAAAATTTAGTCATCTCAGTTCTTCATAGTCAAGCAGTTATTTTATCAGCATCAATATTATGAATTGACAAAGAAGTCCTCCCAAGTAAGAAAGCTCTGGGTTTCTGTAGCGCTCATGGCCTGGAAGTAAAACCATTTGCCATATGCCATGAAGTACGTGATCCTTACTTCTCATATAATTAAAAATATTACTTGGGAGTTGTGGATCCTTTGTCTCAGCTTCTCAGGACCTAGAAGGAATGATGAATAGAGGATTGTCAAATGCCATTTTCTAGGAGTCTAGATCTGTAAGAGGAAAAGAAAAGAGGGGGAAGAGCAGTTGAAGTTTTTTCTTTTCTCTTGTTAGTTGCCTCCTGAAGTGGATTTAACTAAAGCAAAGAGACAAGATTTTGAACCATCTGTGGAACAGGCGCGATATAGCAGCTGCCGACAGAACATGGCTCTAGTACCCCCAAAGCCACAGGAGGTGACCTCCCCTTGCAGACCAGTCCACTCAGATGATCCCCACATTGTGATACAGAGGGATAAGGACGGCAGCTCCCGGTAGGGGGCCTGAGTTCCCTTCCTTTCCTCTTCTGCCCCTTCTCATATGGTCTAGGTTGCCTCTATTTCTGTCTTCAGAACCAGCAGGTTGGTTTGTGTGCTCCCTCAGGAGCTCACCCCCACCTTGTGTCTCTTCTGATTCAGAAGCGTGTCCTCTTCTGCTACGGAGAGTGATGCCACGTACCAGCGGAAGCTCCGGCAAAAGCAGTTGCAACAGCAGTTCCGGGAGCAAATGGAGAAACAGCAGCAAGGTCAAATATCAGTTGAAAGGAAGAGTCAGTGTGTGTGAGACGGATGGGAGTAGAGGCCCTGGGGAGATGCACTCTGAAGGTGGAAGGCTAGTGGATGGGGTAACCTGCTCCTCTGCCAGCAGCAGTGTGGCTGGGTCCAAACCCAACCTCACTAGGACTTCTCAGATGACACACAGGATAGAAGAATCTATGAAGATAGTGAAATCCTGTCATGCATTTTCTCACTTCTTTAAAGATACTGATCTTCTGTTAGGGAGGAAATGAGCCTTCTCATAATCTTCTGGAATTAGAAATTTCAGGGTACAGAACTTTTTTTTTGCTTTAGATTCTTCGGCTATTTCTGCCTTTTGTTTCTGAGCTGTCTTTAAAGTGCGGTTGGATTTGGAAAAGACAGAGGCCTTTGGCAGATTATTTGTCCATAACTTTATTTGAATTCAAATTCAGTGGGAATATTAGATACATAATTTTGAGGGGCCTTGCTCTGAGTGTAAACATAGATATGGGATTTGTTCCACACCAGTTGAGGATTTGCCCAGCTTTTCCCTAAGAACTACAAAGATTCATGGAGGACTTGCTTCACGTTTGATTCATTAATATTCCCCTCAGCGCTGACAAACTGCAATTAATGTGGAAAAAAACTTACTGTCCTAGAATAATGTATTCTAGATCCTTAGCTTCCATACCATTGCAGAAGCCCCTTGGGGGTTGGGGAGGGTAGAGAAGGTTGTCTTTCAGAACTTTTCTCCATCCCTCATTAGACAACTAGAGCCATTGTTTTTATTGGTTTTACATATTGAGTTTCTGGTTAAGATTTTGTTTGAACAAGGATATAGCTTTAAAAAGCCACCCAGCCACTGAACCAGATGACTTCTCATTATTTTTGCTGCTAAAGGAGAAATAAACTTGTCTGATTTTTACCATGTTGGTGAGAAGAGGCTCTTCTAACAAGAGGGGGGTAGACTTAATGTCTTAAGTTACATTACATGTAGTTATGTGATTCTGTGATTTGTCCTTTCTCTCTTGTGTAAACTGTAGCAGTGCTGCCGGCCCCTCCTGTGAAGCACAGCACTCCTGTAACTGCTGTGCCAGAACCACTCGCTGAGAAAGACTCCCTTGCAGGTCAGTAGGGGCTAACAGAATGATTTAAATATTGATCAGTAAAAACTTAATGAAATGCTTGTAAGTTACTGTGCTGTATACTTTTAGTAGTCACAGAAGACCCAAAACAGATTTATAGTAGTGATAGCACATCTTCTGCTCCTTGACTGTCCTAACCTAGGGAAGCTTCAGTGTACTTTCAGGGGTGGAGGAGAGAGAAATTTGAAAATCACAGGATGCTGAAGGCATGGAATTTCTTATGACTGATCTTTCTGTTGCTTTATGTGAGAACGTTTCTGTACTTGTTGATGCTGCATGTTTCTGTGATCTCTATCCTTGCAGACAACCTTGAAATGTGGGATATGACTCCAGATTTAGGGGACATTATCAAGTCCCTGCCTAAACCAGAACCACCCCAGACACTTGCCACACCAGTCCTGAAGAACCACATGGTGACTCGGAACAGAACTCCACAAAGACTTTGCCTCCAGGAGCCACAATCAAAATCTGGACCCTCGCATCCTCAAACTCACAACACTAACCAACACCTAACAGGTAGCAGAGAGAAAAGTGGTTAGGAACAAAAATGGAAGGGAGATCCTGAGTTTAATTCTGTGAATTTTAAGGAAGAATGGCATTTCATTTTTGAGAAGTTGGATGGAATCTTTCCACGGGAATAAGCAGTGTTAAGTAAATGGAAGATAACTGATTTAAGAGCCAGAACTTTTCCTTTGGGATCCTGACTTCAGATGTAATTCTTTTAGCCCTTGATAGAAGCAGGAAGCTTACCCATGACTGCATCAGGGGTTTTAGCTACTAAAAGTAGGTCCATCGTGACTAGTATTGTAACATGGTCTAGAGTTAACAGAGGGATTTGCCCTCCCCATAACAGTAATTCAATTTTCATTCCTGGGTTCTTAGTTTAAGTTAGGATAGTTAACTAATCCAAATCAGAAATTACTGTCCTTATTTGAAGATCATGACAGCTATATTCTAACCACTTTATCTTCCACAGGAGACTGTGATTCTTCGAGGAAGAGCCAGGACATGAAGAAAAGGAAATTGTATCCAACTTAGCTGAGGCTCAAGTCACATCATTGGACTCTGTCATGAAGTGACTTTGGAGACCTACTTTTTGGTCATGAAATTGTTCATCATTCCTAGGGAATGAGCTTTATTTCCAAGGGTTTACCTTGCTTTATTCTGAACTTTATCTAGAAGAGGATTTGACTTTTTGGAGCCTACTGCAGATAGAGCTGAGCAATTAGAGAACAAGCACTGTAAAAAAGCATGTCACACACTGCAGTGGGGAGGCTCTGGACAGGATAAAATACCTTTTCTTTGGCTGCAGGCTTTTCATTATTTATTCCTAAACTATTATGTTAATAAAGATAGAAATTTTAGGACTCACCAACGGCTGCCTGCCCTCAAGCAGTACGGGCCATCCTAACCACTAGCTTTAACAATTGCCTGTGTTAAATTATTGTATTATCTACCTTCTTTCCCTTTAGGGGTCCATGTTTTAACGTTCCCCGTGAATACGGAGTAGCATGCTAAGAACAAAGGCTGCAGTGGTACTTCACTATTCATCTAAGCTAATCTCCCATTTTGGGGTTTAGGAAATCCCTGTCCCGCATTCTTTCAAGACGAACATTTTTTATAAGATCAAGGAAAAGGCATTTTGAGAAACCACAAGAAATCCTTTGTTCTGTAGTAGAAAACATACTAGCTGTTCGTATTTTCTCATTTCTGATGTTATATCCCACCTTGACATAAATTGGTTTTTAATGACGTTTACAGATGTTTTATAATTTCCCCCAAATGATGACTTTGCAATTTTACCTATTTAGGAACATTTTGGGTCATGCCTTTTATCTAACCTTAAAGCAGTATTTTTTGTTATTTTTTTTGGCTCACAGACTCATTTGTGGGTAGCTGTGAACTTGAGGTGAGGAACTCAAAGTCTAGAAACATAGTCTACCATTTGTAGTCTTTTGGAATACAAAGAAGAGCAGCTTACCTCATTTTCCTCACCTTCTAAAAGCATTTATGTTTCCTGTCATTGTATGGATTTGGTCATGTATTTATCTTTTGATTTTCATGTCCATACCACTTTTCCTCAGGAAAAATATTGTCCTCTTGTCTATAACATAATCTTAGTTCAGGGGAGAACTAGTGCTAAAAAAAGTTCCTGTGAATTAGGAGTCCAGTTATTGTGGGGATATATGCCATTTAAACATGGCTGCACTATTGACAACTGCAGCCCCCACAGGCCTCTATGCTGTATACAACATGTCGGAGACTTGTCAGCGATAAGAAAGAGATTAGGTACGACTTGTTTTCCCAAACCTAATGTCCTGTTACTGATTGGCTTGTTTATCTGAATTCCTTCTCTCTTGCCCGAAACTTACTGTTACTCACCCAAAGCCCATTGTTCTGTTATTTGCTTCACTGCTTGCTGTATTGACTATAAATAAACTCCTGGGACTGGAGCCGGGGGTTGACTCCTCAGAGTGACCCTCCTGGCCCCACTTCTCTGTAAGAGTTGTGTTTGGCTACTGTCTTCGCCGCCCCGACAACCGTTGCCGCTGCGACAAGTTATAAATGCACACATCTCAAAATAGAGCCATCAAGAACACATGCAAAAGGAATTTGCTGGAAATGAAACCCCACAGCTCAACAAAAGCAAGTTTGTTTTATTTGAATGGTTTCATTAAATAAGTCTACAAAGGTAACAAACTGAAGCACAAAGCGCAATCTTACAAGAAGCGCAACACCCAGAGTTAGTGCAAAATGTACAATTAACGGCTGCTGAGAAATTCCCAAGGTTTGAATTAATTTTATTTGTTTTGTTTTTTTAAAACAGTGTACATTGTTAAATAATGTAAGGAAAACATTTAAATTCAGAAAGATTTTTTTAAATGTGGAAAAAGATAAAGTGTACTATTAACACAAAAATAATTTAAACAGTTCAGTAGCACTAGTTCATTCCTCTAGGCTTCAGTTATTTCATCCACAGGAGGGGAAAAAAATCAACAGTAAATAAAACCAGTTCTTACTTTTTGTGTGTGAGTGAAGGATCTCAAAATTATTAAACCAAAATAATGAAACAACAAGTGTGCTGCATTTGGCTCCCTCGTTCCTCTGGTGGAAAGTATTGTTTCATTCCTCTTAGGTGGTCCATTTCTCATTTACGTGGCACCTTCTTTGTTCTATCCTTACTCTTATCCTCTCCCCAAGAATTATAGGCAGAGAAAAAATAAACAATTTTAAAAGGAGGGCTTGGAACCCCTGCCCTTTTCATTTCTACTTTTCCTAAAACCTTCAGCTTTCATCTTCCATCTTTGGGGCCTAGCCAACTTAAACAGGGCCCATGAAAGAACAAACAGGATTCAGATAGCCACCAGGCTCTTCCTATTTTTGTGGTGATTCCTGGGATGTGCCATTGAGGTGGATAAGAGGTTGGAAATATGTCAATTTCCCAACTAAGTCAAAAGAAGAAGCACCCCCAAAATTAGGAGTCCTAGCTTCTTTCCCCATCTTCAGAGACAGTAAAGATCCCGAACACAGCCAATTAGGAGAGTAATTCCTGAAAGCTTCGTAAATAATAGAACTGTCCATCACTAGGCATAGCACTAAATAATACTGGTTGGTTGCAGTTATATTAAGGGAAATATTTATTTGTGTGAAAATATCAGTTGCAATTCTGGAAATATTAAAGGTGGCACAGTAGATTATAAAACTGCAACCATTTAGGCATCATATAGTAAATGGGCAGGAACAAGCATTCTTTCCTACAATTATCTTAATTCAGATATGGGTCTACTTTCCACAGAAGATAGTACCCCAAGTTGAGAAATACATGGTACATGTGCAACAACAGGAAAGCAAACAGTTTTTCTTAGAGCAACCTTCTCCATCTATGACTTTTCACTATCACATTTCTCAACTTAAAAACCAGCCCAGCCCCCTTCGTGTTCAGGCATTTCTTCTAGGTCTCCCATCTGTTCAAGCCCAGCTCAAATAAGTAAGGTGTATGGCAATCATTGGCCAGGCATCATGTATCTTCAAAACAAGTTTGTTCCCCCATTCTTTAGTCTTTTTCTTTCACTTAGCACACACCACCTTTTATCTTTTAAACTGCCAGATTTTATTATAACACCTGTCCTCACTGTTCCCAAAACAGAACTTTCAGCTTTCAACCACTGATGTCAACTTAACTTCTCACCCTGCTCATCTTACACCTGCTCTAGACAAAATTGTTGAATGACTTAAAAAAAAAACAAAAACTCTCAGTTTCCCTTTGGCATATCCACTGCTGGGGTCACATGGACCTAAGATTTCCTTCCACATGCCCTCTGCTGATCTGGGGTCTGATGAGAAATTGATGCTAATGGCAGAAGCAGTAGAAGTCCAAGGCACTAAAATATCCAGCAAGCAATACTGGGAGAACAGAAGTATTCAAGTACAGTAATTTATACAATTTTACATTCACATTTATTTATCTAATACAATGGAAATACGAAGGAAAAAGTTAAAGTGTCTCAATAAGTAAAGGACAGAGCTAGCTTTTTTGAACTTTTTAAATCTTTCATATTTTACTCTTAAAACTACTGTTGTCCAACAACATTTATATATCACAGTGTTTCCACATCAAAACTGATGGCAAAGTTACATGTCCGCAGGGAACTTAATCTTTTTTTTTCCTAATTGCTGATGCTGCAGTCAAAGCTGCTAATATCTTTTGCTTAAAGCACTAATGACCTATCTTAAGAAAGGGTGGCAACCCAGTCCCCTGGTGTTTTTCACTGGGTTCCAAAGAGTTAAAAAAAAAAAAAAAAAGGGAGGAAGGGTAGGAGAGAGCCCAATAGTTTTTTTTTTTGCCTTGTCATCTGGATTCTTGAAGGAGTAAGGGATTTGGGGTGGTACCAAAATTAAGAGCTCCAGTGACCTGAAAATACAGATGGGGCCTGGTTTTACACTGAGCTCTCTAATAGCTTCCTGATAAATACGATCCTCTTTCCTAGCCCTCACTGTTGAGTATAGAGAAACAGGAAAGCATAGTTTGAAGCTGCCCCATCACAAGAAAGCTGCTCTTTCCTTCCAGTCTCACTCTAATAAGTGGTGAAGGGGGGAGGGAGATTCTCCATTCTGAGGGCTCAAAGCTGTTATTAAAAACATTCCCTTCTGGCAAGAAATAACCAGTTAAATGCAGCACTAGTAGCTAGTATATAGGCTACTTTCCCACCCCCCTACCCCCAGCATTCCATCTCCTGCCCCCAAATTTCTCAATTAATGTTTCTTGGTCTAAGTGGTCCGCAGGTTGGAACCTGGGGGGTTGCTGATGGATTTCTGCAAATTGCTGATGTTGAAATTCTGTAAGGAGGCAGTTCCTACGGGTTGGAACTGGCCAAGTGGCTGTGGTGCTGGGCCACCTGTCCCACTCCACTGGGTGCCAAAGGGGGCAGCTGGAAAACCGTACTGTTGTGGGGGGCACATAGACTTGGTGAAGTGACCTAGAGAGGTAGCTGATGCTGCAGAGATGGGGGCAGAGCCACCCAGGTTTGAGGTCATGGAGATGCACAGCTGACCAGGTGCAGAGAACTTCCTAGCCATTCCAGGGCCCTGAAAACAAAACAAGTATATGTAAACTGTGGTGTGGGTATTAACACCCATGGGTGTGAAACAGGTGGTACTAGAATACAATTCTAGAACTGGGACTGTTCTAATCTTACAGGGTGTAGCAAAATAAAACCTTCCATTATATTTATTGACTCTTTACACTTACCAGATAGAGGTGAGAATAACCTATTCTGATTGCAATGGGAGGAGGAACATTTGTGTGTGCGTGCATGCAGATCAGGGTGTTAAAGGAATAGGGAACTAGGGATACAAGGAAGTTAAAAATAAAGGGTAGCTGGGTAAATTTTACCTTGGTTTGAACAAACGTTAAAATTCATGTGCTACAAAAGGTGATGGCACAAAATGTTAAGTATCAGCCTAGGTAGTTTATATTGCCTCTGATTCAAATGTGTGCTAAGTGATATTCTAATAGATTAGGAAAATGGCAAAAAGGGAAGACTTACCTCATAATTCATGTGTCCTTTGCTTCCTCTCCTGCCTGAAAGATTCATGGCATCTCGGGCCCAATTGTCTACCAACTTGTGAAGGTCATCTGTGAATGTGCCCTTCCTGCTAGATGATGTCATGGCAGTAGGCTGAGCTTGAGGGGCTTGGCTGTTTACTGTTCCCCCAACGGTGTTTGTACTGCTGGTCCCTAAAGTTATAAGAAGCAACAGAATATAAGCATTAAAAGGAGCCTGGGCTATAATTTCAGGAAGAGGGAAAACTACAGGATGATGAATGGCAAGCCACAGAATGGGGAGAGGATGAAATTAGGAAGCCATGCAAGAAGGGAAGATTCCAGGGTTTTATTTAGCCATTTGCTTTGACATAATAGGGTAATGAAAACGGATTCTCTTCAGGAGGTGCACGTAAGGATGAACAACTTAGGATGACGGTAGGCACAAAGGGCAGGGACGTCTTTTAGCCCGTTCACATAGCACCTTAGAGTACTGGAACTGATTCCAGTACTCTTTCCCAGCATCAGGCTGACAAAAGAGGTGTGCTATGGTCAATGAGGCTAGTTGCTCTGGAATTTTGGTAGAATTCAGGGCAAAAGAAAAGGATTTCCTAGGCATCGGGCAGCGTTAAAGTAGGAGTAAAAAAGAAACGCAAAGATAATATGCTTGGCCCAGAAGAAGATAGAGTTCCCAAACCCTGTGGATAATGCCACATTCTTTAACCATTTTTTAATGAAAAGAAGTGATAAGAGAAGTAGTAGCATGCTCTTTTCAAAAAACTTTTTCACCTAGACCCATAAACATAAATTAATAAACATATACTTGGGAGAAGTTAATCTTTCAGCATCTCCCACGTTCCCATGAGTAAAAAACAACGATTACTCATGAAGAAGGGACTCTATGGTGGGCCTGAGACATTCAACTCCAGGAAGATACGGTTTTCCTGAAGATGACCTCAGCTTCAACTGATTCAAGGATTCTCCCCCCTCTTCCCAGAACAGCAAGCACTCCCAGGTAGAAGCAGCAAGAACATTCAGCTGAGGCAGGAGTGCAAAGGGAAGGCAGCGGAAGCTTTGAGGCTATGATGAAGGTGTTCTATTCCTATGGTCTGATGAGAAAGAAAGAGTCTGTGTCCTGCCTGATTTTGGCTCTGCCGGAGGGCACACTGAAGATGGTTCGAAGAGGCAAGTATTAGGGAAGAGGGAAAGAAGAGTCATGGTCTGGTTTTCCCCCCTCTCCCCACT